CTATTGTAACCTTTCTTGCTTCATCTTCGATTAAAGCCGCAAGAAAGTATTGTTCCATATCAAACAAGAAGTTCTCGACTTCTTTTACATCGTGTGCCCCTCCGTAGGTACACGGTTCCGGAATTCTGAGCCTAGGAACATGCTCTCGTGCGGGGGCTTGCCCATTGCCAACCACACGTTGAAGTACTAGTAATTGAGCTCTCAACGCTTCCATTTCATCCCGCATATCAGGTAGGATAGCAACAGTTTCATTCATTACTGTGCAAGCCCTTCGGCTTTCATCCAATTGGATGTGTAATCTACGAATTCCCGTCTCTGCCACCTCGACTTTTTCCTCGAGGCTATCCATGGCATAGCACAACCTAGTAGTTGTCATCTCAAGAGCATCCACGCGCTGTTTCGTATTCCTCTTTTGAGGATCTACGACTTCTGCGGTGTTCGATTGAATTGGATCCATAGCTTCCATAGCTTTCTTATCGAGGGACGTGAACCGCAACTCTGATACCAACTTTCACGGGGTGCCTTTCTTCTTGGCTCAGAAAGGAACACCGTGCGGCAGTAATCTGTTCTACTAGACTACCTTCAGCCTTCTCTCGATCGTTTCGGGACGAAAGAAAATTTGATTACAATCTGTGAAAACCTTACAACATGAAATTGAAATGCAATGAAAGTAAATTGATCATTGATTGCTTGAAAACTAAAAATTACAATTGATGAAAGCAGGAAATTATAATGGCAGGCGCAGTGGGCGAACACCAGAAATCTTGAAAGATTGTTTAAAAGACTAATACCCCCTATAATAGCTTGCGAAACAAAAACCTAAGTGATAAGAGTAGACGTTTAAATAACGAGGAATCATACTAAACGTTTACCAATATCAGAGCTATTTTACAATTGAAACAACTATTACGATGGAAAGAAAATTACAACTCAAACTTGAATTAATATTTACAATATGCGGTCGAAGTTGGGCAAACTGCGGTTGCGATTGCGTCAATGGGCTTAAGTAAAGTTGCGGTCCTTGACCCCTAGTTTCAAAGGTGATATTGTAGAGGTCAAATGTAAGGGACAATATTACATACTGTTCCGGTCCTTTGTATATAATTATTCATAAATTGTACTAATATGCAAAAGAACATTAATCCTAAACCCTAAAATCCAGTTCTCAAAACAGTAAAATTAAAATCACCGGACAAAGAAAAAATATTTTAATTCTCCACAAA